AAAAAAAAAAAAAAAAGACAAAACTAACTGGTGACATCAATGTGAGAAGTGTCACTTGCACTTTTCACTGGCAATAAAAACACCTGAAAATCCCAGGACTTGGGAAAGTAAGTAACAATATTAAATGGGTCACTCTCTCCCTCTCAGTATGGATACCTGCCTTCAGTTCCAACCAGGCATGCATGCTCACCCACACACACCCACAAGATCATCTTTGCACAAACTTGCACTTAAAATCAAAAGGCAGAATCTGTGATATTGGAAACGTCCCTTTTGGATGTATACCACTTTAAGGATAAATCGCATCCTTTCATTTCAAGCCAGTAGTGACCATTGGAAAAACACTGCAGTTCATAGAGAAATATTTTTAAGTTGACATTGTGTTTTATGTTCACTTCTCTATCTTGACTCCAAAATTCAGACCCTCAAACACAGATATTTACCTAGAGAGAAGAGCCAGGTACCTTTTCATTCATACATGCAAATAACTCCATCGGCCCTACTCTCCCCCATGCTTGCCTGCGCACGCTCACTAAATGTCCTACACCTCTGTGTGCGCCTTATGCCAGCTGAGGACATGCGTGTGATGAGTACTTCCTACTGAAATAACCAACTGAGGCAGGGTATGGACCGTCCAAACAGCAGGCCAAGCAGGGTTCCAGTCTGGGCTGGCCCCGTGTTACACTGGGTTTCACGTTGGATAAAACCAAAGGATGCCACTTGGCATTGTCAGCAGCTAGGGGTATGGGAGAGGTTACCCTAAATTTCAGTAGCCAGCAAACAAAACTCAAACTAGAAACATGCTCTTTTACTGTCATTTAAGTTCCTGAATGAAGAAAAACACCACACTTTGCCATTGTATCTTGAAAGTGTTCCCAGGGGAAATGGTCTCAAGAGTACCCTTGCCTTTTGATAATGGCAACTTAAATGTTAAACACTGAACTTTCTTTTTTTTAAATAAGAAATGCCCTCTTGTTGGGGCATAAGCTTTCACAATGGTGTGGCAACTTTTCTTAACACAGAACTGTGGAAACTGGAGCAGAAGGGAGACTATTAGGTCATTTCTTCCCTGCCCCACTCGTGTAGGTTTGTTTCCTACAGCACATTCTCCTGGCGCTTTGTCCAGCAAGGTTTAAATGATTCCAGTAATGGGGCTTCCAGTGGGGACATATGGTTATTTTATACAGTTCGCATGTTCCTTTCACTTTGCCTATAAATTGGCTGGTCACAAAAATTGGGTCTGCAGGAAGGTCACTCTGGGTTTTGAGAGGTCTTGGGGTTTAAATAATGTGGGTTCTGTTTATAAAGATTTAGTATAAATAGGTTGCTCAGTTGTATGAAGTACTGCTTCCAACAAACATCTAATCTGTTTTATTCCACTGTGAATCACTGATGAAAACATACACCCTTGGTTACTTTGTTCAAAACACAGGTGACTCTGTCAACGAGGAAAAGCTGATGGTTGGGTCCCAGTGAGACAGTTACAAATTTCTAAAAGACCTTTTTCCCCCTCTGCCGAAAAATTTCCATTCAAGAAATGTTTTTAAGTAGAAATGACCCAAGAAGGCAAAATTATATATCTTTGCTTTTCTCTACTTCCTGCTCCCATCTTAAGTTATATTCCTCCCTAAGACCAAAGGTATAGCTGAAGTTTACAGTTAGTGCTGGGTAACCGTGTCTTCTGTAGTAATAATTACTATTGTTGTAGAGTTTATAATAATTATTATTCAAAAATAAAAGCTTTTTTCTTTTTTTCCTTTCCTCTCCCAATAACAAAATTCATGGGATTACTTAGATCATGAGTAGATAAATTATTTTTTGTTTTATTTTAATTAGAAGTTCTAAGGAAAGAAAGTTTGATGCTCTTAGTCTAATGTTAGGTGAAAATACATTAAAAATAATAATCTGCTCATATTAATCTGTCACTGTTTGGCAAGTAATGATACCTGTGACTACCTTAAGAATTTTGCCTAGTACAACAGTCCCCACTAATAAGAATTAGGCTATCAATTGACATTAAGGACTGAGATCATCTTCTATTAATTCTGTTGGAAAATGACTAAACATTCCACATGCTCTGTGCTCCTATTTTAATTCCCATAAGCTAAAATATTTCTAATTTAGCTGACATCAGTTGTGAGGTAAATATCCATAATATTAATCAAGCTTCTTTCTCCCATCTTTCCAGAAAAATATATTTTGAGATACAAGCTGCATGCCATTAATTATTTTAGCTTCAAATTATATGATAAAATATTTTGGCCAGGATACATCACTTCCATGTGATTTATTTTAAATTTATAAAATATTTTTTGAAAGTTAATTTCATTTTTATTATTTTTCATAATGTTGATCCCATAATATTTAAAAATTCTCCATCAACTGAATTTAATGTTGCCTATTTAAAAATATGATTTTAACAGTTTTTATCAACTAAGAATGATATGTAGTATGAAAATTGGATCACTGAAATGAAAATATGTCAAGCAAATAATTAGTTAATATTAGTTGATATCAGTAGAAACTATAATTTGTTTATAAATAAATACATATATTTATACTATATATACATCCAGGTATATATGATACTGTGTATTTTTTTCATGTCTGTATTATAAATTCAGTGCTAATTTTTTTCTGTATTCATCACTTCTTGGGCAAAAATGACAGCTAAAGGAAATAGTTGTTTTTTAAAAATGATTGATAATCCCAAGAAATCTTAATATAAGAATTTACCATTTCTTTCCAAATGAAAGCTCTAACAGAAAAATGTGAAAGAATAGCAAAATGTAGCATGTGACCAATTTTTAAAGGTTCTTTGCTAAAATATTCATATTTCTTCAGTATCTGCCTATAGACACGGCTCTGCCTCATTTTCAGTTTTCCAGGGACTCTGGTTTATTGCTCTCATTGTCATAAGGGCTTTATTTTGTTTTGGAAAGATTTCGTTTCGCCTTTTCAAGATATTTTGTTTGTTACAGTTTCGAAAGCTGGCTAAAAACCAAGGAAGGGGAAGTGTTCATCTTTAAAATATAGGTTCAGTGAACAATTACAAAGGTCAAAAACAAGGTCAGTACCTGACATAACAACTATAAATAACACACATAACTGAAACATTCTAATTTCACTAGAGAGAGCAATAATGCAAATTAATAAGTTTGTATTCAGAAGCAAATCCTCTACCGGAATATAAATTAGGAATTTATATCTTAATAAAGAAAGAAAAAGGTTTTTTCCTCATGTAAGTTCTTCATCTAAAAAATCTCAAGGAATATGCCCCAAACCAATCAGTATTGAAAGCAAATTATTTTCAAAGGTATCCGATTGCAGCTCACACACCTTTCATTTGTGTTTCCAAATGCAGAGCTTTACAAAAGAAATACTGTTTGGTCCAGATGGCCTTCTAGAAGGCTCCCTGAGAGAACTCAGAAGTCTTTCTAGCCAAAAATATTGTTTCCGCTTATTCAAGTGCCAGAAATCCCACTGCCACTCTTTCACGCAGATCAAATAAACCATCTACAGATTTGGTTGTTGTCTTTGTCAACTGAAAGGGTTGATTCCACTAATAGACAACAGTGTACCCTCCCGCACCCCTGCTTCCCACCACCCACAGCCTTTCCCCCCTTTATTTGGAAGCGGGAGCACTGAACTCCGAACGGAATGGCTTCCAGTGAAAATGAAAGGTGAAGGGACATAACTCCACTTTTGAGATTCTTAATCATTGTGTTTCTCCCTTTATTTCCTTATTTAATATTTAATAACTATACCCTATAATTTTGAATTTAAAAAGTCAAATTCTTAGAAAAGCTAAGAGTTTGCCAAGG